TGTGAGTTCGAGGCCAGCCTGGTCTCCAAAGCGAGTTCCAGGAAAGGCGCAAAGCTACACAGAGAAACCCTGTCTCGAAAAACCAAAAAAAAAAAAAGGTGAATGTCACATTACATTCTACCCTCATATGCCAGTGCTCAAAGCAGAAGGAATTTAAAAAGCAGAAACACTTTTCTCTCTTAGCTGGAGGAAAATAGGTTTTATAGATGCCCCATATACTTTCTTTGCTGAGTCTTTCGCAAGAATTAGGTCCTACATCCATCCTAAGAGCCAGCACTGACTGAAGTCACAAGGAGTCCCCGTGTGTCATTTACCATTTCACAGCTGTGATAGAGTAACTGTGAGAGCAAACTTGGAAGGAAACAAATGTATTGTGTCCAGTGGTTTCAGTCCACAGTCACCAACATCCACGGAGTCTGGGCCTGAGGCAAGGCTAGCCATGAGGGCAGAGAGCATGCTGCAGGACCAAAGCTGCTAACCTTGTGGAAGTCAGCCACGTAGGAAGAGGACAGGGCTCCAGGGATAAGACTGCCGTCTCCGCCCCTGACCCACTTTGTGCAAATAGGTCCTACTTCCTTACAGTCCACTGAGTAGTAAACTTGATGTAGTAATCCATTAGTAATAATATTGCCCTCATGATCCATTCATTTCTTAATAGTGCTACATTCTAGGAACCAAGTTTTTAACATGCGAGTCTTTGGAATATTTATATTCAAACCATGACTGTCTTAGACAAACTAGGATCCACCATTAGCCTTGGGGTTAAGTGCTAATGTTTGCCCTGGATAATGCTGGGCAATAACTGGTATAAGGAGTCCCAGACCCTTCTTATTCAGAGTGTTTCTTTCATAGAACTTGTCTATTCTAACTGGTATCCTGTCCAGGGCTACTTGGGTTGCAAAACTGGGAATTTCATGTTCCCTACAGAACAAGAGATACATTTCAAGGAAGTCCATGGGCTAGAGTTTTGGATGGCTTCTTTTTCCATTTTCTCTTCTTTGTCACTGTTATGTTTTATGTCTTCCTGATCTCATAGCATTAGATTTTGCTGTAAATAGCGTCCAGGCAGATAAAAAACATCCAAGTCACTGCTCTGTCCATCACCTTTGTATTTTCAAGAAGAAACACAGTGCAGGTGAACTTGGAGTGAATTTTTTCTGCCCCTAATCTCCTAATTTTGCTACAATCATCTCTTCTTGAAGTTTCTAACCAACATTTAGAGGATTCAGATATCTTAAAAAAAAATAATCACCATTAACCTACATTACCCTTTCCTCCTTAACTGAGAAGTAAGATGTACACAAGTGACCAGTTGTGTCCAGGAGCTCAGTTTCTCCCACAAGCTCTCCATGCCAAGGCCTGCCCTTCCTTGGTGTAGGTTGTTCAACCTGGCCCTCTCACCTCTGTTGTGTTGTGTTATGCTGTGCTGTGTTGTCCTGGATGCAGCCATGAGTGCCATGGCAGGGGTAGGGAGCCTGGGGTTTATCTTCCTTGCCCTTCTTCAGTTATGGGTGTTTCTGCCAGGGGTTCCATGACTCCATGACTAAGGCTGTGCATGGTAGTGCTTGTCTAGCTCCGACTCTCGGCCACCTCCAGCCATCCAACCTACCCTGTCACCCATGAGCTTAAGATTGCTAAACTTCCTTGCACAGCTGGTCCTTGGGTTCTGCAGCATCTCATGATATTTTCCTAACATCCTCTGTTCTCTTTGCCTCCCTGTACAATCCTACAGACTGTCATTCTTTTAGGGGGAAAGGGTCATGACAGTCACCTGTGTGTATTCCTCAGTGTGACGCCCCACCTACCCTGTAGCTACATGACTTTTGGGGCTTTTCCATTTGTTCATGTGTTTGTAGACGTGCTTTTCCCTGAGATAGAAATAATGCTTCTGCAGGCATCTGGTTCCTTCTCCCCGAACACGTCAGAGTCTAATAAACAGAAGAATAGGTCTGTACACTAAGAAGAGCCATTTTATATAAAATGTTATAGTAATTTATAGTAATATAATTTGTTAAACTGTCTGAATGTTGGTGCTCTGCGTATTACTGTTTGGAGCTTTTGAAGTTGTCTTGATTGATACAGTCACTTAGGTTCACACTGCTTAGTTTTCTGCATCAGATTTGAAGAGCTGTGATGTAATGTTTTCATATATAGTTGGTTTTGGGAGGAGTTCCTGGCACCTGTCTGTCATGCACAGAGCAGCCAGAGACCCCCCACCAGGCATCATACAGTGCTGGCTCTATAGTCCCTTCTTTCATAGTTTATCTGCTCACTAATAGCTCAGTAGGCCCCCTGTTCCATTTCTGAACAATGCTAGCCAATGGTATAACCCTGTCCATCATTTTTAAAATTATACAGTATTTCCAATGTGAAAATACCCACAATAGCAGTGGCTCTCCTTTATCTTCTTATCTATAATAAGAATTTTTGTTCCAGATTCACCTTCCCAAAAAATGCCTCTAGCCAGGTCTATTGACGCTTGAGAACAATTTCCTGTCATTCAGATCTATTTTGCCTTGAGACACTCACAAAACTCCAGTGCAGCAGCGTGTCTACCTCATCCATCTGTGAAACCAGAATGGACGGCAGCATTCTTCCTGGTGATGAGTCTATTACTCATGGAAACCTTGAGCTAATTGCTTGGCAAGTGCACTCATACGGTTTTCTTTAGCCCCCGGCATACCTCATGGGTAGATAGTTCTTATCACTTCTCATTTCCTTGATTCAATCTCCCCACGCATGGTAGGCACATGGTAGAGTCAGTGAGACTTTCACTCCTGTTCAATACCCTGGGGCACAGTGGAGGAGAAGAGCTGACTCTGCAGATTCCCAGGGCAACTCCACCTGTCTCAGACAGTTAGTACCTTCTAGAAATGGCAACAATGGCTATATAAATAGCCAGGATCATGTGTATAGAGCTATGTGTATAGAAATGACACAAATCGCCATGTTTAATTAATGTCTGTTCCCTGAACAAGAGACTTGGGATTTTTAGATTAAAAACAAGAGTAAGTATTTATAAAGCGGGCAAGAGTCTGTGTATGGTTATTAACATAGACTTAGTTAAATAATGGACAGGTACGAGGAGGAAGTTGGAGCATGAATGTGGAAAATATCCAAAGCAGGACCTTTGCTGATTTAACAAGAAAGTCTGTCAATTCAGAGGTTTGAATCATCTTGTTGTGCAAGGCATGTTTCTCCTTAGAAGTACATGGTTACCATGGAACCAGATGGTCCAAGTAGGACCTGTGTCTAGATGTGTCACACAGACCTTGGAGAGAAAAAATCTTCCTCTTGGGAAATATGCCTTTCTTTATCCACTTGTGTTTGAGCTTGCTCCTGGATGGGACAGCTCCAGATTCTCCCTCTAGCCACAGTTAGTATAGAAACAATGGAGACTGGTGGGCAGGCTTAGTTCTACCCACCTTAGGAAATAAAAACCATTAATGATGACTAGAAAAGAGAAGGGATAGAGAACTACACTGTAGAGCCGTATCTGTTACAATACATTGTGATTAGCCAGCATGTCAGAGAAAACCACCACGACAATGAGTAAATATTTCCCATAGTACTTAGAGAAATGATAGATAAAAATACTGTTCCTGACTGGCCGTAGTGGTGCACACCTTTAATCCCAGCACTTGGGAGGCAGAGCCAGGCAGATCTCTGTGAGTTCGAGGCCAGCCTATTCTACAGACCAAGATCCAGGACAGGCACCAAAACTACACAGAAACCGTATCTTGAAAAAAAAAATACTATTCCTTCTGAGGCTGATGCCTTTCACATAATGACTGACTGAGAAGACAGTTGGAGCCAGAGAGTGGAAGGAGAAAATACTTATTAGTTCATCGTCAGATTGTGGTCAAACTAAGACTCATCTGTCTTCACATTAAAATGGAGGCTAGGACTTGAATCCCTTCTGCTCCCTTTTGGAAGGAAGACCTTGGACAAGGAACCTCACCTTTGGCCCCATGAGTGTCTCCTCTCAAGAGACCTCTTATTACATATATAAGGAAGTTGCTCACTCTTCACTGTTCAAACACTGATGTCCCAACCACACTTGAACGCATCACCACGTGCCAGACGAGGCCAGAGCCCAGCATTCTGCCTTCAGTGACCTGCAGGGCTCTCCACCACTGTGCACTCAGCTCTTTCTCAGTGTCACTGCCTTGAACGCCTTCCATCCCCAGTGACAATAAAGCATCTGCCAATGACTCTCACGAACAGGGAACACCAAGCTGTCCTTGGCATCAAGGGTCCGGTCCAGCTGTTTTCCTGGTCCATTTCCACTCTGAACAACTCCACACAAGTACCCTACCAGCTTGTTGTCCATCCTCGGCAGCACAGCCCTACAGTGCCCTTAGTAGCTGTCACACAGGGTCGGAAACACATGCCAAAGCCCTTCCTGGCCAGTGTATAAACTCCAAGTGGTGCTCGCAGCATAGCCTTGACAAGAATAATCCTGAGAACTGTAGCTCTCTCATTGCTCAGGGCCACTAAGATGTGCCGAGCATCAAACCTTGTCACTTTGAGGTAACACTTGGGCCAAACCAGGATAAATTCATAGGCTTTTGTTGCTTTTAAGGTATGTATATAAAACCATGCATCAGATGTGTACATCAGTGGGGTTTTCTTGTTCCTTGGGTTTCCTCCATTGGTGGGCCGTTCAACCAAAACCTCATTCCCGAGTCAGCCTTTATTCCTCCACTGCCTCCTCTTCAACGGTCTTTCTTTTCCTCTCCCTCTGATCTTCATTCCTTCCTCCTTTTCTGTTTCTTCCTCTCTACACCGTTTTTTTCATCATCTCTAGTAGTGAACTATGCTGCATGACTTTACAATGTTCTCACACACACCGCCGATTTTAATTTTTTTAGGATTTTGGAAGAGCTATGATTGCCACTTGACATCTGTTGTTCTCATGACGTTTTATTTTCCACAGCTTTACTGTTTCTGACACCGTTGCTTGTATTTGCCTTGCAGACCAGAAACCTCACTGTGGACGGGAGCTTTGGCGCCTGGTCTCCGTGGACATCCTGCACACACACCGATGGCGCTGCTGTGGGAACCTGCCTCTGCCGGTCCCGCTCCTGTGACAGTCCAGCTCCACAGTGTGGTGGCTGGCAGTGTGAGGGCCCTAGGATGGAGATCACCAACTGTTCCAGGTACGTGCCTCAGATCGCTCTACTGGACAGTCACGTGCCACTGCAGATGGTTGAGAAATCTGGGCAATCACTCTTAATACAAGCCATCCCTTTAGTAGATGGAGGGTGCAAAAAGACAGGGACACCCATCACTTAACTATTATGTCATTTGTGGAAGAAAATTTTAAATTGCAAGTTAAGTTGTAAATTAAAATTGCTTATAAGCTCATAATTAGATAGGAAAACATTACTAATATACTCAATATAATTGGATTTTTTAAATGCTCATTACCTAATATCTTTCTGAAATAGATGACTGATAATCCCTACTGGTGGAGCATGTTACATTAGCTCGAAGGAATCTTTGCTCTATGCATCAGTAGATCAGAACTCAGCATACCCCAGCTCTACTGACGTCAGACACTTGGTCACCTAGATGTCATGATCCCCAGAGGTCATTTGAGTTGCCTCATGCTCTTTTCTGACCGCACTTGTTCATCCTGCCTGCTTCCCTGTACACCACAGCATCAGAAGAGCTTCTTGAGTCAAGGTTCAAGCCTCCTTTTCACATGACTAACAGTCCATTTCTTAAAATCTTACCTGCTTTTCAGAGCCTAAAATGCAGAAACAGTAAGGGAAACTATTTCCTTAGCCACTGACTGAGGGTAGGTTTGGGTGATTGAATTGTGTGAAAGTAAAGAAGACCTAGCATGCCCAGGAAGGATGGTCAGAGCAGAATGTGCAGACAGAAAAAGGCAAGCCTCCTCCTTGTCAACAGTTTTCATAGGGTAAACTCAATTACCCCATAAAGTTTAAAGAAGCCAAGGAGGGCCACAAAGATAAGACTATATAATAAAACAGAAAACACAGGTGTGTCAACATTGCATCTTGCTCCATATAACTTCTCTGCAAGGAGTTGGATTCCATGAGTGCCTGACAGGAGCCTGACATACGTTACTGGACTTGAAGATGACAGTGATGTTGTTTCATGCTATTTCATTACCGAAAGACTATAGAGCTCTGGGTTGTAATTGTTTGTCACTCAGGCTACAGTTCCTGTTGGAAAGTCACCCTCTAAATAAGCTCATAGTGCAGCTCACTTCAGATTAAAATCTTAGTAAGTCAGCCTGTTTCAGTGATGCTGTGTGAGTGGAAGCAGATGACCATGTACTGACTCCATTGTAAAAACTCCCCATCCTCTGTGTGATTACTTCATGGAGCTCTGTGATTACCTGACACTGCATCTCAGCCGCTTCCAGAAGTATGCAAAGCTAAGTCCAGATAATAAAGAGTTACTTATAAACTTGCTTCCCTTATCTCCCGATTTCCTATATCCTACCAATTTTAGATACTTTTATTTACTTACTGTTGCACATGCAGCATATTCTTCATATTATAAATCAAATATATCATAAAGCTTCATATATTTTTAAAAGCTTAGGAAATTAAAATTTAAAAGTAATATGAAAATCAGTGTGTTTCTGGATTATCTAACAATTTTCTTCATAGGTGGAAAAACTTTATAAGCAGAAATATCTAATTTAGGTTGAAGTTAAGTTGTAAAGTTCTAATAATCTAGTGAATTACTTAGACAGTGTGTAGGGCTGTGGGTAGAGGGGAATAAGAAATTGGCTTGTTACTTTTATGAGGAACATTGGAGGATCAGTCTCATTTTAATTAAATTATCAACCATCAACAATTTATCATGCATTAGATGAACGGTATCTGTTTTGTTTCTCTCAGTGTTAGGTTTCAGCTGCTAAACTGGGAAACTACAAAACGTATTTAAAAGATCTCAGGAAGTTTCATTTTAACTAAATAATTTGTTCATTATTTCAATTTATGTATTTAATTCTATGTCTTCAGTGTTATCATTACATACTTTTGTGTTCTTAAGGAAATGTATGAAGGCTGGTGTGAATTGACCTTGAAAATGTATGAAGGCTGGTGTGAATTGACCTTGAAAATCCAGTAGCTGAGGATACAGGACGCCTGGGGGAATGCCTTTGTGGTTAACAAATAGAAGTTCTGAGGCTGGAGAGATGGCTCAGGTGTTAAGAGCACTGGCTGGTCTTCCAGAAATCCTGTATTTAATTCTCAGCACTCACATGGTTATAGATGGCTCACAACCATCTATAATTGTAGTTCCATTGGATCCAATGCCCTCTTCTGGTATGCAGATGTGCCTGCAGGAAAATATTCCATAAATAAAGGAATCTTTAAAAAAAAATAGAGATTCTACATACAATATGTATTAGAGCTTGGATCAAGCAATAAAATGAATATTCTAATGCTCAAAAATGATAAAATACTTCCAACTTATTTTTAATAGCACAAGAAAACTTCTAAGGGAGATATTTAAATTACAAAGACTTTGAATATATTGTCATTTTCTGAAAAAAATACACTACTGAAGTATTGTATGTCAGTAGCAATATATTTTGTAAGTAACTGGTGAAATAGCGTCATTTTGCTTTTCTTTTATTCTTAATATAACTGTATCATTCTGTATGTACAGTAGCACAGTTGCATATGGAATTATGATTCTGAATTAAATATATCACCATTTGTTATTATCAAAATTGGCTGGAAATCTTGAGGAAGATTCTACTTGTCCTGGGCATGAACACTGCCTATAGGTTTGTGCATGCTTACAGGTATTCAATTTAAGATAATTTGCTGGATGTGACTTTCAATGATTTTCCTATCTCAGGGATACTGTTCACAGGTTATAATGGATGTGATAAGAGTCAAGCAAAATTTAGGATTCTATAGGGTTAGGATTCATTTCTAATACTTTGCAGTAAAATACTACTCTAATAGTTTGAAATTTTTATAACTAAAGTTTCTTAGCTGTTTCAAACAGTTAAGTATTTTAGAAATGATTTGTGGCTTTCACATCAGGTGCCAACTGTAAGGGACCCACAGTAACAGAGGTTACCAGTCTGCTCTGTCCAAAGGCTGTGGTTCCACACAATCTAATAGTCCACCCATGGGACAAAGGCATTTGCTATAGGAGCCGATGGGTCGCAGAGTCTGAGCTGGCTTGACTGAGATGTTAAATCACTTGCTTCTCCTCAGGAACGGAGGCTGGACTCCCTGGACCTCCTGGTCGCTCTGCAGCACCACCTGCGGCATTGGCTTCCAGGTGCGGCAACGCTCCTGCAGCAACCCCACACCCAGGCACGGAGGCCGCGTGTGTGTGGGTCAGAACCGGGAGGAAAGGTAGGTGCCTTCTGTGTTCCTACGCCACCATCCTCATGCTTCCTGCCATCAGTGCGGCCGATTTCACTTTGGGATCTAGCTTGGTTTGTCTATGGCATTCCTCTCTGTTAAGCTAACCCACACCTCATTTTTTTCTGACATCCTTCAATTTTGACCAAAGGTTCCCATGAGGAGCCTCGTTCTGGTCCTGTTTCTCTGCACGCTTGAACTGGCTCAGGGAATCCATTCTCGTGCTACTGGGTGCTCAGGAACCAGGGGCACCTGTGCGCTGGGCTTCTGTGCACCCAGAACGTGAGCCTGCTGGAGAATGGTGGTTGAGATGTTAAGTTAGCCCCGTCTCAGTAGCTGCAAATCCTAGCAGGTCCTGGTGATAAGGGCAGGTAAGATGAAGACTGTGCTGTAGGCAAGCGAGAATAAATGCAGGGGAGACTGTGTCCCTCTACCCTCTAGTCTGTGAGCAAACATCCCCCCTGAGCTGTCTGCAGTACCAGCACAACGGAAATTGCCTTCCACAAAGACTTTCACTGTTCAGTGCTCCATCGGGACATTTCACCTTAGACTTGAATCCAGCAAGGTGTTTTTATGGTTTTGTTATAGAATTAACCATTTTGCTTTGACTCCAAGGTCTACTCTTTGTTCCTTTTCTTTCTCTCGCCTACTGAATGCATATTCCATTCTGTCACTATTAGGGGTGAAAACTTGTAGATGAAGTTCACATCACTTTTAGGATATCACACATGCTCGTGCGCGCACACACACACACACACACACACACACACACACACACACACGTCATCCTATTGAATGGCTTCCAGTGCCTTTTAGTGAAAAAATATAAGCTCCTACTCAGTGTCATGGGTCCAGGGAGTCTCATAAAAATTCCTTATCCATATATGACCATGTAATTTGTAAACAAAGAGCAGACTCATTGTTTTTTTCATGTAGTTTTACAGTAGGTGTTGAGTACATCTTAAAAGCAACTAGGAAGACCATTTTGCTTCTTCATCCACCAAGTTTCTTACTTACCAGTTAAGAGTTCTTTCCTTTTGACTAAGAATGAGAAGAGGGTTGCTGCTACATACAGACAGGATTTGTCATTTATGAATTGGTCCCCTGAGATAGTCTTGTTCAGGTCTGTATTATTTCCACTAACACCAGTTGATAGGTGAGAAAGCTGAATATAGAAAAATCTTCTTAGTACTTTTCCCAAGGCTTGTAAGATTCTAAACTAGTTGGAAAGTTTTCAGCACTGTAAATTGTCATGTTGTGTATCCCATTCCGGTGAAGTCATATCTGTCTGCAAATGCTTTCTTGGAGTCCAGGTACTCCACAGACACCATCTCCTTCCCCAGGCTGAATGGACAGGAAGGTCAAGACTCCATAACTTTGTGGCCAACTACACTGTGTTCTGTCTGTCCACTTGAAATCATAAAGCCATGCTTTCAGAAAAGAATTTAAAAATAATGGCTAGAATTTTTAGATGCCTCACACCTAACAAGTTCTTCATTTACAGGAGACATGTTTTTTGGAGTTAGATAAGGGATTGTTTAATAGAGGAAATTTTTTTTACTTCAAATAATAAAGAGATGAATGGTAAGAACGTGGACTGTTTTTATAAATTGATGCCTCTCTGTTGAGTATGCTTTCTAGGAGACTACCAGGCATTTCAGAAAAGCAATATACTTGATGTGCCTTGGTCTCTGTTAAACAAACAGTTCTTAAATTTCTTGCTGTGGGGACATCACTACATCACGGAAAACTCATTTTGATCCTGGCAGTGGAGATATTTGATGATTGGCTTAAGGGATGGGGGGGGGGTGGTTTACAGGATTCTAGGACCAGTCACATGAAATAACCAATACATTTTGTGATATTTAAATAGCATTAAACTCTCTCCACAAATTCAACTTATGCCAGCAATATAGTTAACGATTTCTGCAAAGTTTTCAATGTGTGACTCAATCCATTGGGAGCTTAGCCTCACACAAAATCTCCTTGGATTTTTCACATCACTTCTTTTTTTACACGTGCTATAGAATGTATGAATACCCTTTTTACTTCTAATCCATTCTTTGGAATGGATTTCTTGAGGAGCAGGAACCTCCAAGAGGAACCAGTTCTCCAAAGGTCACCAATAAGGTGGGACAAAGCAGCCAGGGGCGCAAGCGTCAAAATGCATTTGAGTTCATTTTCTACTGCTCTGTCACCAGGGCTCCAGTGACCCAAACAAAAACAACTGCAATCACTGTGGCACTCTGTCAGAGGGACCCTCGTGTCAAGGCTCCTAAGTTGTCAGCCAGACACTGCCCCAAGCCTTTGACAACTGAGCCTTCCTGGTGTGGCCTCCAGCTCATCACAAACTGAACTTATGAACAGATTTCCATAGTCATAAGACACAGCCTCATCTGGCCACAGTGGCTTAGGAAGAAGAAAATCGTGGTCCCTGCCCACCCTGCAGAGAAGGGGATTGTAGCATGATGGAGCAGGTTTCACTGATGTCACTTTAGATTCTGTCTATCACAGACAATTCTCTGTCCTCAAGTCGCTCCTTCCCTTCTATCTGCAGTGTGCTTTTCGTCTATTTGCAGGGTTCCCAATGCCATACCCCTTGCTAAGCTTCCTTTGGTTGACAAAGAGGATCCCTGAGTCATACCATTGCTCTTGGACTCTCATGGATTCTATGCACACTGGCAGTCTGCCCCCATTCTTCAGTCTTGCCAAGGTTTCCTCAGGAAGTTAAACAGGCATGCCCCAGCTTTCCCTGACAGCAGACAGTGGTTTGCATAAGGATGGCCCCTGTGGACGCATATATTTGAATGCTTCGTCACTAAGGTGTGGAACTCTTTGGAAGGACTAGAAGGATTGGGAGGTGTGGCCTTGGTGAAGCAGGTATGACCTTGTTGAAGGAAGTCAGTAACTGTGGGTGAGCTTTGAGGTTTTAAAAGCCCATGCCAGGCCAAGTCTTTCTCTCCCTCTCCCTCTCCCTCTCCCTCTCCCTCCCCCTCTCTCCATCTCTCTATCTCTCTCCCTCTCTCTATCTCTCTCCCTCTCTCCCTTTCTCCCTCTCTCCCTCTCCCTCCCTGCCTATGGATCAGGCTGTAGCTTTCAGCTACAACTTCAATGCCTGCCAGCACACTGCCATGCTCCTGCCATAATGGTAATGGACTAAACCCCTGAAACTGTAAGCAAGTCCACAAGAAGTGCTTCCTTCTGTAATTTGCCTTCATCATGGTAGCTCTTCCCATCAAGAGAACTAAGACACAGCTCTTGAGTGCTTGGGAACTATTTCTTAGTTTTAGATTCTTTAATTTTAGAGGGTTTGTTTGTTTGTTTGTTTGTTTTTTGTTTTTTTTTTGTTTGTTTGTTTTTTGCCATCAGCAAAGTCTAGTCTAAGTACCAGCTGGCCCTTGTTCTTTTTATGGTCCACCCCTTATGTTTTCTCTTTCTGTCCTATGAGCTGCAGGAAACCAGTAACACCTCAACTCTGTGCCTTGAAATGTTGTTATCTGTGTAACTTCCTTCACACTTCTATGTCCTATTTCTCATATCAGTATAGATGACAATTTTGGAAGCTTTGTAGAATTCTGTAGTCACATTTTACTAACTACTTACCAAAAAAAAAAAATGTCCCATTTTCTCCTTACATTTTTTTGTTATGGTAAAATATAAACAACATAAATTAGCCACTTAGCCATTTTAAGTGCAGAATTCATTGACATTAATTAAACTCACATTATTGTGCAAAAAAAATCGTAACTCCCCATTTCCAAAACGTTCTCATTATCACTAAGTAATAGTATTCCATATCATCATTCTCGAGGCCCCTGGAAACCCTGCTGACTAGTCTGCCTATTAATTTACATATTCTGTGTATCACATGTAATTGCAAATCTGTAATGCCTGCCCTTTTGTGTCTTGTTTGCTTTACTTAGCATAATGTTTTCAAGCTCCATCAATGTTGCAGCTTAGATCAGAACTGAGCCCTTTGTGAATGTGTGGCATACAATTGTTTTTTGCTTATTCAGTTGCCCGTCCATGGAGTCAAGTCATTTCTTCCCCTTGCCTATTTAAACAGTGTTAGAATGAACACTGGCTTGTTGGAGTTCCTGTTCCAATTATTTTGTATAAATGAGTGGATGATCACATTGTATGTTCTGCTTCAGAGGGATGCCAGACTACTGTCCACTGTGGCTTCACCATTGCCTATTCCCACCCCAGAGCACAAGAGTTCTGGCTTCTCCACATTCCTGGCAATGCTTATTATTGCTGGGCTGGGTTTGGACCATCCTACTTGATATGAAGAAGTGGTTTAGATTTAGATTCCACTAATGCCCACATGATGACCTGTCTGTTTTGCTGCTCCGTTGTAGTTCTTATTCTATTTCCTTCTAGGCTTGCCCCCGTCTATTGGTGAAATTATTAAGGCCAGTCCACGTAGTTAAAAGGGAGGTTTATTTTGTGGGGTAACTTACAAGTGAAGGGATAGGTAACAGGGTCTGGGAAAGGTGTGGCACAGTCCAGCGGTGTTCTCTGAAGAACTCTGCTCAGTCTACCTTGTAGCTAGAGTTTTCCTGCCTTGCCCACAGTCAGGACAAATCTCTGTCACCTGCCAGTCCCACAGCTGCTCAGACCCAACCAAGTAAACACAGAGACTTATTTTGCTTACAAACTGTATGGTCGTGGCGGGCTTCTTGCTAATTGTTCTTATAGCTTAAATTAATCCATTTCCATAAAACTATACCTTGCCACGTAGCTCGTGGCTTACCGGCATCTTCACATGCTGTTTGTCATGGTGGCGGCTGGCAGTGTCTCCTCCCACCTTCCTGTTCTCTCAATTCTTCTGTTAGTCCCGCCTATACCTCCTGCCTGGCCACTGGCCAATCAGTGTTTTATTTATTGACCAATCAGAACAACAGATTTGACATACAGACCATCCCACAGCACTACCTCCAGCGTCCAGGGTCCAGGAACCAAGAAAACTGGCCCATCCAGATCTTGGG